TTAAATAATTAAAAAATTGCACATGTAAAAACTTGAAAAACTATAAGTGCAATTTTTTAAAATTAGCTTTTTAATTTTAATTTAATTGATAAAAAAAATCAAAAATTTTTAGACGTCTACTAAGTTTTCAGTGTCATAAATTTATGAAAATGACATTTCAAAATTTTTAGAAATTTTTTATTGAAGAAATTTCAATTAAATAATTAAAAAAAAAAATTGCACATGAAAAAAAACTTGAAAAACTATAAGTGCAATTTTTTATAAATATCTTTTTAATTTTAATTTAATTAATAAAAAAAATTGAAATTTTTTGACGTCTGCTAAGTATAAAAATAAAGTTAGCCGACATCTAAAAATTTTAATGATTTTTTCTATTAAAAAAAAATTTTTTTATTTGTTTAAAACTTCAAAAACTATGAGTGCAATTTTTTAAAAATATTTTTTAGTTATAATTTAGTAAATTAAGAAAAATAAAAAATTAAAAAATGTCGGCTAACTTTATCTAAAAATTAAAAAAATTTTTTTTATCAAAAAAATTATTACAAAAAAATTCACTTTTAAAAAAATTTAAAAACTATAAGTGCAATTTTTAAAAAATATTATTTAGTTATAATTTAATAATAAAAAAAAAAAAAACTTTAGTATTATAATTTTTTTGTTAAAAAAAAAATTTAAAAAATGGTCAAGCCTCCTAAATTTAATGTCAATATTTTTTTTTCCAATAAATAGACGACGAGTTCAGAATCAACGTCATCCAGCAGCTCTGGATCATCATCAAGCAGCTCGTCGAGCTCTGGTAGTGAATCGAGTTCATCAGACTCGGAAAATTCCAGCAGTTCAGCGCGTAGCCAAAAAGTATCTGACTCGGAGAATAAAAATAAAAAAAAGCCAGCACCAGCTGCTGGATCTAGTTCCAGCAACAGCAGACATGTCAAAGGCAAGACTGAAGCAGCCTCGACGGATAATAAGAGCAAGGACAAGGATAAGACACCCCAGAAATCATCAGCTCGTGTTATTTATTCATCAGAATCCGAGGAGTCGCCAACTAAGTCAAAAGCTCCGGTGAAAAGAAAGCCACCAGCGAAGCCTAAAGCTACTGCGACTGTTGCTCCGGTTATAAAAGCCCAGAAGCAGCCGCCTAAAACGGTACAAAGTAAAAATTCTGCTCTAGCTGCTAAATTACTCAGTTGCAAGCAAAAAGCAGCTGCTAATAGTAGTGGAAGCAATAATCCTGGCTCGGGTAAGGCTAATGATAAAGGTAACAAGAGTGGTGATACTGGTCAGAAGAAGGACAAGAAGAAAAGTATATTCAGTCCGGAAAATAGCAGTGAGAGTGACAGTCCTCCAGCTAAGACTAATGTTAAGGCTGGTAATAGTGTCGCTAGGTCCAAACCACCACCTAAGCCTAAAGTTAACACGGAAAGTAAACCAAGACCGCCTGTTAATAGACCTAGTAAGTTAATTATTTTATTTTTCTGTCAGCTATTGTCAGCAAGATTGTAAAGTTGTGAACTTTTATGAATTAAGATCAAGTTTGAGGATAATGATCTCTAGATACATAATTGTAAAATGACCTTGTATCTCGTAAACTATTGATATTTTTAAAGATATAAGCTCATCCCGAAGTTATACTCATCAAGAGCTTTCATTTGAATACTTACATGGCATTTTTGATATATTTTATATATATTATATTTATAAAACTTAATATATGTCAAGTAATAGTAAATTCTATATAATAAAATACACACATTAAAACATTTAAATATCATATTTATGAAAAAAATTAAACTGTAACCCATGAAACATTACAAAAGAACGACAATTGATCTGTCTTCTAAGTCTTCTAAGTCATAAGTAAGAAATTAGTTTTCGGTAAGGTAAATTTTTTTAAGTAACTGGCGGTGAAGGAAATTTAAATTATATAATCTAAATTCAAACAACCTTTTTATTCTAAATAAGAATAATTCTCCTTGAAAATATTTATTGTTTTTATTTATTAAAATATATAAATATTGATTACTAAAATAAAACAAAAAATCGCTTATTTAATGGGAAATTATTTATTTTTCTTTATAAAGTAATTTTTTGTTAATTATATAAAATATTAAAATCAAACTGTTTTTTTATTTGTTTCAACTTAAACTATTATTTATTTATACACTTTCTCAAAATTTATCAATATTAAAGGAACAAAAACATCTTTTTTTTTTTAATTTTCTAATATTTTTGAACTTACTAATTATATCTGATATTCCTATATTTATTCAACTTTAATCTAAGTTTAAACGAATTATATTTAAATAAATAATTTTGCACGCCTCATAAGCGAAGCGTTGAGGTTGTGCTCTACTCTCGACATTTCGAAAAAAGCAGTTTTCTTGAAACTGAAATTGATTTTTTGTTATTTATATCGCACTTACAGGTTAATATGAGTATACTTATATCAAGTCAAATAATTAGTCAGGCACATAAAATATATTTCAATAACAATTTTTTTGTTTAACATAGTAAATAATAACATTAAACATAATCTTTTCTGGACGTCCGTGTATGAATGAGTGTATGTGGCAGGGAAATTGGTCGAAAAAATCATCATACCGGAATAATTTTTTTTTTATTATCTAAAGTAACACACGACAGATTTTCTTAATTAATATGAGCGTTCAATTCACTGCCGTTAAATTATCATTTATTAAAAACAAATATATGACTGTGGATTTTTGTATATCTATCTATACATTTTGTTATAGTATTTTTTTTCCTCACCTTAGAGTTATGGCGCCACTAAACCATAGCAGTTTTCTGTTTTTTATTATTTTGCTTTTTATATTTTATTTTAATCAATTTTATTGTAAAAAATGAGATTATGAGGCGTGCACTTTTGGATTTTCCAAACTTTTTTCTTCTTATGTTATTCTAATTACATATATATAAAAAATAATTGTTTGTTTTATAATATTCATATGACAAGAACGTAATTATTGATAAATGTTGAGAAGGTGTATAAATAAATAATAGTTTAAGCTGAAACAAGTTAAAGAACAGTTTGTTTTTAATATTTTATAGAATTAAAAAAAAAAAATTACTTTATAAAGAAAAATAAATAATTTCCCATTAAATAAGCGATTTTTTGTTTTATTTTAGTAATCAATATTTATATATTTTAATAAATAAAAACAATAAATATTTTCAAGAAGAATTATTCTTATTTAGAATAAAAAGGTTGTGTTTGAATTTAGATTATATAATTTAAATTTCCTCCACCGCCAGTTACCTAAAAAAATTTACCTTACTGACAACTAATTTCTTACTTATGACTTAGAAGACTTAGAAGACAGATCAATTGTTGTTCTTTTGTAATGTTTCATGGGTTACAGTTTAATTTTTTTCATAAATATGATATCTAAATGTTTTAATGTGTGTATTTTATTATATAGAATTTACTATTATTTGACATATATTAAGTGTTATGTATGAAGTATTAAATGTATATAACTTGTTAGAGAGCAAGTTACTTTTTGAATTTCTTTACAATTATTACATTGGCTACATTTCCGTTCGGATCACTCAGATGACCCCTTATTTTCCTTAAATTTTCTGCTGGAATTAATCGTAACTGTTCTAACAGCTGACTCGATAAAGCGGCAGCCATCTTTGTCAGTATTCGTTAGTAACACAGAAACCTACCAATGACACTGACGTTCTAAAATATCGTTATTGTTTTTTTTTTATCTAGTTTTCACAAGTGTAAGTCAAATACTAAACAAATATCAACAGTTGTAATGTTTACAATATACAATTAAAATTAATATAAATTATTTTATACTACTTATAATAATGAAGTTAAAGTGAATTGAATGTATATAATATCTAAAATGTATTTATAAATTTTCTGATTTAAAAGTATCAAGGAAAATGACACCTAGACGCAAGGTAAATAATTACGAACTAGGTTATGTTTATATTTGTTATAAATATTTTATATTTTACAAAAATTAATTTAGCAGATATTAAATAATTTTTTTACCAAATAAATTTTGGCAAAAAAAAATTTACGTGTAGAAATTTTATGCAATTTTTTTTAAATCATTTTTTTCAAACAAATTTTTATGAAAATGACAGTTAGCTGACATTTCAAAATTTTTAGAAATTTTTTATTGAGAAAATTTCAATTAAATAATTAAAAAAAAAAATTGCACATGTAAAAAACTTGAAAAACTATAAGTGCAATTTTTTAAAATTAGCTTTTTAATTTTAATTTAATTGATAAAAAAAATCAAAAATTTTTAGACGTCTACTAAGTTTTCAGTGTCATAAATTTATGAAAATGACATTTCAAAATTTTTAGAAATTTTTTATTGAAGAAATTTCAATTAAATAATTAAAAAAAAAAATTGCACATGTAAAAAACTTGAAAAACTATAAGTGCAATTTTTTAAAATTAGCTTTTTAATTTTAATTTAATTGATAAAAAAAATCAAAAATTTTTAGACGTCTACTAAGTTTTCAGTGTCATAAATTTATGAAAATGACATTTCAAAATTTTTAGAAATTTTTTATTGAAGAAATTTCAATTAAATAATTAAAAAAAAAAATTGCACATGTAAAAAACTTGAAAAACTATAAGTGCAATTTTTTAAAATTAGCTTTTTAATTTTAATTTAATTGATAAAAAAAATCAAAAATTTTTAGACGTCTACTAAGTTTTCAGTGTCATAAATTTATGAAAATGACATTTCAAAATTTTTAGAAATTTTTTATTGAAGAAATTTCAATTAAATAATTAAAAAAAAAAATTGCACATGAAAAAAAACTTGAAAAACTATAAGTGCAATTTTTTATAAATATCTTTTTAATTTTAATTTAATTAATAAAAAAAATTGAAATTTTTTGACGTCTGCTAAGTATAAAAATAAAGTTAGCCGACATCTAAAAATTTTAATGATTTTTTCTATTAAAAAAAAATTTTTTATGAGTATAACATCAGGATGAGCTTATATCTTTAAAAATGTCAATAGTTTACGAGATACAAGGTAATTTCTTAATTATTGACATTCCTAAAGATATTTATTTATTTATACTTTTAACGCCAAACGGCTTTGTACATATTAATATTACAAAAATTGTGAGGGGAAATTAAATATAAAACAGTAATAATAAAGAAAAAATAACAGAGATATAAAGAAAGAAAGAGACAGAAAATAGATTGTTGTGCATGGGGAGAAAATATTGCAGCAATATGAGTTACAGAGTTTCTTTTAATTAATTTTGCCAGGAATGATTTATAGGAGCCTTCAAAAAAATTTATATTAGTGTGATATCTGTTAACGAGAGTTGATATTCTGTTTCTTGGACTGTTGATGACGTAATTTTTATTGGACCTCGTTGTTTTCAGTAGTCGATTTTGCCTAAGGTTGAGAGTCTTTTCGATGAACTCAAAGCTTTCTATTAGATCAGGAGCTTCAATTAATCCAGTAAATAGTTTAAAGAAGACGGTGCAGTCGGTGATCTGTCTTCGCTTTTCGAAAGTATCAAGCTTGTAGCGTTCTAGAACTTCGCCTGGTGTCACTGGATGTCTGTGTTTTTTGGCAAACTTATATGCCAGGATTTTGGAGAACTTATGCCTGATCCTTTCGATTTTATTTATCGATAAAGCAGTAGAAGGTGACCATATGACAGATCCATAGTCAAGTACGGGAGTTATAAGCGAGGAAAAGAGACGCACTAGGGTGAGTGGGTCATTGAAGTCCCGGTTGGTCCTAGTTATGAGACCAAGGAGTTTGAATGCTTGTAGAGTAATATTGTTGATGTGGCTGGCGAAAGAGAGTTTATTATCAATAGTAATGCCAAGGTTTTTGACTTCCTTGAAAATATAAACTCATCCCGATGTTACACTCATCAAGAGCTTTCATTTGAGTCACCACATCAATTTTTCATATATTTATATACTTATATATATATGTATATAAATATAAATATATCAAAATGCATGTGGGTACTCAAATGGAAGCTCTTGATGAGTG